AGGAAGGGAGAGAGACACAGAGAGATAAACTCGCATCAAACTAAATAAAAAACCAGCTTAGCTGTGTTTCAGTTAGTGAGCCATTTCTTTTGTCTGGTTTTTGTATGGATTTATTTTTGAGACAGGGTCTCTCTGTAGCCCCAGCTGACCTGGAACTCACTATGTAGATCAGGCTGGCCTGGATCTCACAGAGATCTGCCTGCCTCTGCCTCCTGAGTGCTAAGATTAAAGGGGTGTGCCACTGGGCCCAGCTAGTGAGCCTTTTCTACACGGTCATTTTCTGTTCTTATTGCTGTTTCAAAAATCCACAGTGATGTTTCTTTTCACAAAACAAATCTAAATACTTCTATTTGAAAAAGCATTAGCAACACTAATCAACCTTTCTGATCCACCAAATCATTTTGTTTAAAAAGAAAACTTTGATTTTTACAAAAAAATCAATATTTTCTGACCTATATAAAGAACAAAAACTATTATATTCCCATGGGAGATGGGCACAAATATTGGTTTATAGGATAAACAAGAGATAGCTCCTGACTCTGCTTTGGAGAAATCCATCACAACTATGGCTGTCAAAATTGGTTTGTAAAATACATGTTTGCTGGAACAAACTCAATTTAATATCTCTTCAGTTTCTAACGCTATTTTCCACCTGTCAGTGCTGCGGGCCAGCCCCTCCCATCTGCACCTCCTCACCTCTTGCACAGCCAGCTGCTGCTCCTGTCAGAATCCCTCCTGCTTATCAGTGTCATCTGTTTGCTCCTAGTAAACACTGTCTCACTCCATTTATCCCCTGCTTCCCTCAGTGGTGAACCAAGGGAGTAATCTGCTGTGACAGCATGAGCTGATGTCATTAGAAATTTCTAATATTCCAAGATGACTTTTTTGCTGTTATTGGGCTCTTGCTGTTTCTGCACCACGTTATTCTGCCTGGGCGTTTGCAATCTTGGTTTGCTCCCTGTTCTGCAAAACCCAGTATCAAATTAGATACTTACATGCTGTCATGTTGGGGTGCAGGGGGCAGGAGGGGCAGGAGATACGAAGAACAAGTTGATTACATAGGAAGTCTGGTCACAACTTCTAATTGTGTTGTCACCCCCACCAACTTACACTGTACACTGGGGCACAGCGATTAACCTCAGCTTAGTGCCTGAGTTTCCAGGGCTGCGAAGGAGACAAGGGCAAAGGCTGATTGAGCATTTGATGAGTACACATCTCCATGCATGGCAAAACAGCTGGCCTGCAAGGAAAGCAATGGTATCTAAAATGAGCCTCTGAGGGAAAGAAGCAATGGGGTTTGGAGGACATCTCAAGGTGGACAGGACAGAAAGCCAGCATGAAAAACGTCTATTATGTATTTATATCTATATATAGATATATGTTTATCTACCAATCTATTCATTTATTGTCCCATCCATCTATGTAAGTTTATATGTATGCATGGACATATCTACCTCTCTGCTTATCATCTGTCTACCATCTGTCTATTCATCCATCTATCCATGTCCCTGAAAAATCCCAAGCTGTACCATCTTTGCATATGTGGCCACCACTGCTCACTCTCCTTCCCTTTACAGTGCCCTTTCAGGAACAAGTTGTTTATGTGCCTGTTACTCAGTCACTTGATGAACTTTCTGTCCTGTCACTCACTGAGAATCCCCCTGCAGAGGCCTCCTAAGCTTTCTTTCAAAGAGTCAGTTCCCTCTTCTCCCTATGAACTCATCTTTCTGTGACATTGAATGACTTTGGGACACTATTAGGAAACATCTGTCTTGCAGTGATCTTTCCATATTTTCTTCCCTTCTCTTGGAGCTTCTGCCTGTGATACCTTGGGACACCCCACTTATATACTTGTACTGACTGTTTCCAGCCTTTGTCCTTGGCAATCATCCTTTAGTGGCATGGTGACATGCTTGAGGCTTGTAGGATGGTGACATGGTTTGGGGTGTGGTGTGGTGATATGATTGGGGGCATGTGGCATGGTAACACGATGTATGATGATATGATGGGGGCGTGGCACGGTGACGTGGTTGGGGTGTCACATGGTAACATGGCTTCTGGATCAGCTCACCCTTTTCTTGCTTTGTTACCACCAGCCTGCTCCTAAGATTACTGCTGTAGCTCAACTATCTTTCAAAACCTTCACTCCTACATGCACAACTTATTCTGCATCATGAACTGAAAGTCAGAGAGTTTGAAACAACACATCTACCTGCAAGCATAATTGTCTCTTCATGCTGAACGGACTTCACGTCACAGTTACAATGGGAACATGAGCATCCAAGCATCAGATTTTTTGAGAATGTCATACATGACTATTGTATTCATAACATTTCCACTCTTCCCTCTCCCCCACCAGCTCAAATTCACGACCTCTTAATTTTGTTCTCTCCCATTCCTCTTGCCTAGCTGTCACTGTGTCTTGTGTCATCTGCTTCTTTGAAATACTCAATACTATCACACTGCTCCTGCCTTAATTAAAATCCTGATCTTTCTAATTTCAGTTAGTGTAATAGCTATCAAGCCTGGTCTCAGAGTCCCAGTCTTAGCTGTTCCAATTAGCTGCTTCA